CTGCTTTGATTTTAATTTCCTTCCTTCTGCTTGGCTTGTGTTTAGTTTCTTCCTCTTATTGTAGTTCCCTAATGTGGAAGGTTAGGGTTATTGATTTGAGATTTTTTTATTCATAGTTATTCACACCCATATCCCATAAATTTTGTTATCTTCTCTTTTCTTTTTCATTCATCTCAAAGTATTTTCTACTTTTCCTTGTGATTTACTCTTATTCATTGATTGCTTACAGTTATGTTATTTAATTTCCACATATTTGTAAACTTTCCAGATTTCCCTCTGTTTTTGATTTCTGATTTCATTCCCTTGTGATCAGAGAAGATACTATGTATGATTTCAGTCTTTTAAAATTTATTGAGGTGTGATTTGTGGCTTAACACATGGTCCATGTGCACTTGGGAAGAATGTGTATTCTGTTTTTCGGTGGAGTGTTTTATAAATATCCGTTAGGGCTCGTTGGTTTAAGTGTTGTTCAGGTCTTTAGTTTCCTTGTTATCTTCTGTCTGGTTATTTTATCCATTATTGAAAGTGGAGTGTTGATATCTCCAAGCATTTTGTAGAATTGTTTATTTTTCTCCCTTCAATTCTGTCAGTTTTTTTACTATATTTTGTCTGTTGTTAGGTGCATATGTGTATATATAAAATTGTTGTATCTTAATGGATTGACCCGTTGATCATTTTGTAATTCTTCTTGGTCTCTTGTAACAATTTTTGTTTTAAAGCCTATTTTGTCTGACATTAATGCAGACGCTCCAGCTCTCTTCTGGTTACTATTTGAATAGAACGTTTTTCCATCCTTTTACTTTTAACCAGTGTCTTTGGATCTGAAGTGAGTCTTTTGTAGACAGCATATAATTGGATATTGTGTGTGTGTGTGTGTATGTGTGTATGTTTTCCCCATTACATTCTCTTAAATCGGAGAGTTTAATGTTCTTATATTTGATGTAATTACTGATAAGGAAAGGTTTCTGGCATTCTGCTTTCTCTATGTCTTTTATTTTTTATTAATTCTGCCATTGTGTTAGATATTTTTTAGTGTACTACTTTGATTCCTTCTCCTTTCTTTATGTATATTACTTTCTTAGTATTTGCCCTGGGGGTTATAATTAATACCATGATTTATAGTAATCTAGTTTGAAAACTTCCATTGGTCCTGAGCCTATTGATGGTAGCACCTTTGGTAAGAAATGCCTGTAGAGTTGCCTAGGCATACATCACTTATAGCAAGCTCCACAGACTTTTCTCCCACTGGTGCCCTGATGTATGGCTGGGCCAGCTCTTCTTGGTTCTTATGATCTCAGAAAGCACTTCAGCAAGAATCAGGGAACTTGGAGGAATAAGATTTATTACTCACAGATCCTGGAGAATGTATGGCACATAGGGCCCGAATGGTGTCTTAAGGTTTTTGTGCTTACTCTTTATTAGCTAATTTAAAGGATAAGAGCATAAATTAGATTATGGGAAGGGAGAACTGGTGTCACTCAAGTGGTCAGTTATCTAGGTTACCCAGGGCTTTCTGAAATAGGGACTTCCTGGGGTGGAGGTAGCCTAGTTCCTTATGTGGTGGTTTTGCTAGTACCTGTGTCATCCATCTGGCAATATGTTTGTTTATTGATCATTTTATTAATAAGATTGATAATGATTTATTTACTAGATTGATGTGTTTTGAAGTCTTGGCAATCAGAAGCTTAATTCAGATACATTATCATCAAAAAAGCTTAAGGTACTTACACTACAAATACCAATTTAGTTTGGTATTTAAAATGATATATAAAAACTTTGTTCTTGTGCTTAGGTTTTTATTGTCACAGTCTATACCTTTATATGTTTTGTGTCTGTCAACATAAATTTATTATTTTATATAGTTGTCTTTTCAATCATATAGGAAAAAGAAGAGTGTAAGCCAAAAATACAGTAATACTGCCTTTTATATTTACCTTCTTAAATGCTTTCCTTTACTGTTCTTTATTTCTTTATGTGGTTTCAAGCTACTGGCTAATGTTCTTTCATTTTATCCTAAAGGACTCCCATTAGCATTTTTGTAGTCAGGTCTAGTAGTGACAACCTCCTTCAGTTTTTTGTTTATTTGGAAGTATCTTAATTTCTCCTTCAGTTTTGAAGGATAGTTTTGCCAGGTATCTTGATTGACACTTTTCATTTCTGTATTTTAAGTATGTTATCCCATTGCCTTCTGGCCTACCTAATTTCTGACAAGAAACCAGAATTTATTTTTTTGAGGATTCTTTGTACGTGATGAGTTGCTTATCTCTTGGTGCTTTCAAGGTTCTTCTTTGTCTTTTCTGACAATTTGGTTATAATGTGTCTTGTGTAGACTCTTGAGTTAATTCTATGGGGTTCATTGAGCTTATGAATGTTTAGAGTCATGTCCTTTATCAAATTTGCCAGGGTTCAGCACTGTTATGTTTACACTGAAATTTCTATTTTACCTTCCTTGGCCTGTGATTCCAATGCTGTCTTAGTTTTCAAAGACTTTGCTGTGAGTCTTCTGTGCATGTGCAACTTGGTGGTCAGCTCAGGTTTTTGTCACTTTGTATGCAGAGTTAGCGACCGTCTTTTCCAGATCTCTTTTCTGATCTTTCCTTTACAGTCTTTCCCTTTTTGTTGTTCTTTGGCTGGAAATAAGGACGTGGAGTTTCAAAATTACAGCCACCTGCACTCCTGAGTTTTGAATAACTGGGACTGCTTTCATGATGAAGTGACAGAAAAACATAATGGGGATTCCTTGTGTACTCTTTGTTCCACAGAGTCCCCTGTGCTGGTTCTGCTGGCCAGAAAGAAGGGTTTGTCTCTGGGTTTTAGGTGGCTACAGAGCTGCCACATTGCAGTGCTGTGACTGAGGCTGCATTTGGGATATTGGCAGTAAGGAGAAAAGCGAAAAGGGAAAGAAAGGAAAACCAGAAATAAGGACTCTTCTCACATTCTCTGTCTTGCAGAGGCCTATTTTTCTGATCCTCTGTCCAGAAAGTGCTCTGCAGTTCTGCATTGGGGTCATACTTAGTTCCATGCTGAGAGATAAAAGGAAAAAATACTCAGGATGCTTATCCCTGTTATTGGTCATTCTTTCAGTTTTTGCTCCCTTTCAGTTTGAACCTCCCTAATTCATCTGTTATAAACCTTTTGGAGTCCTGAGATAATTGCTTTTAGTATAATGTCCAGAGGTTTTAATTGATATGAATAAGGTGAGAGAGAGGCTGTACTCCACTTTGCCAGAGATTCTTACATATATTTTTTCTTCTAACTAGACCCCTGGAGGAGAACGAGTAGTTGTGAATGGAAGGCAGTTGTTTTCCCAAGGCTCACAATTTAAGCACAGTAGACATTCTAGCTTAGATGTCTAAAACTTTTGACTGGGTAGAGACAAATCATTTTAGACAACTCAGGAAGAAGAGATATATAAAAATACTGTTATCCTCATTTTGAAGATAGGGAAATTGAGATACAGAGAGGTTGGGTAATTTGCCCAATGTTACCTAGATAATGGTACAGTGATGAGTCAAATCTAGGATAAGACAATTTAGCATTAGAACACATTGTCATGTTAAAATTTTCACTTAGTATTGTGGCACTTGTCATATACAAAACAAAGTAGATAATATAATGAACCTCCCATGTATCATTGAACTAGTTTTAAGAATTTCCAATATTTTGCCTTTTTTGTTTTATCTCTGTCACCAAAATTTTTTGTTTTTTGATAAAGTATCTGAAGGCAAGTTCTAGAGTTGTCATTTCAGCCACAATCACTAAAGTATGTATCTAAAATGGATAATAACTTTTAAGAAATAATGTAAACCACATTATAAATATAACTGCAATATAATCATAACCTAAAAAGTGAAGAATAATTTCCTTTAAGTCACTTAATATATATTTTGTGTTCAGTTTTATCTGTCTCAGAAGTAGCTTAGTTTGATTCAGGATCTCAGTATTCACATTTTGTATTTGTTGGTCTATCTCTTACTAATAATTTAAAAAAATCTGTATTGGTCCTAACTTTATGCTAACCATATTTTTTTGATTTTGACTTTTTACAACTCTCTTAAAAATAAATTTTTCATTTGGAATAGTCTTAGAAAAGTGGCAAAGATAGTACAGAGTTCCCGTGTATTCCTCACTCACTTTCAATTTTCCCTAATTTGATTATCTTACACTACTGTGATACATTTGCCAAAACTGAAATCAGCATTGGTACAGTTTTTCTGTTAATGTCCTTTTTCCAATTCAGGATTGTATTAGTTGTCAGTTGTCTTTATGCTCCTCTGGTTTGTGATAGCTTTTTCTTGTTTTTCTGGCCTTAAATTTTTTGAGGATTCCTGATCAGGTATTTCATAGAATGTCCCACATTTAGTGTATATGATCTTTTTCTCAGGGTTAGATTTGGATTATGAATTCCTGGGAAAAAATACCATCAAGTAAAATGTCCTTCGTATGATTTGATTTCCTTGTTAAAAAAGGCATATAAAAAGGTTATCCAGTTTCTAGACAGTAACTGCAATAGGGGAGGTGAGGACTTGATAATATGGGTGAATGTTGAAACCACAATGTTGTTCATGTGAAACCATAAGATTGTGTATCAGTGATACTTTAATAATTAGAAAAAGTTACACAGTTCCAAAGTCAAAACTATAAACTAGGTACCTTCAGAGTAGTCTCACTTTCATCCTTTTCCCCTTCCTAGTCTCTTCTTCCTTTCCCTAAAGGTAAGCATTTTTTATTAGTTTTTGGCTTATCCTTCCCCTTTTTTTAATATTGGCAAGTGCTTGTACACACATGTTCCCCAGCTCTACCCAAAAGGTAACATTAGCCCCTGTTCTTACCTCCTGTACCATACTTCCCCTTTAGGGCAGTCCCTAATAGTGACTCTCTTAATAATGGCCATTTATAGTCAAAATGGTTTTCTGTTTCAAAAAGTTATTTTTTTTCTAACTAATAAAAACCTTTAAAATGTTTATTACATATTAATATGGTTCCTTTTTTATTCACAGATATTTTCCAATTTATCCTTGGATGAGCGCTGCCTTTCTGCATCATTGGTTTGCAAGTATTGGCGGGACCTTTGTTTAGATTTCCAGTTTTGGAAGCAGCTGGATCTTAGTAGTCGTCAGCAGGTATGGAAACTAGTTCTAAGAAACAGTTTGGCCTACTCAAAAAATCTTAAGAAAGAAATCACTTCTTTCATGTTGTAGTTTTTCAACTGTGACTATAATTTACAGTTCCATGTTTTAGCTATTTTTTTTGTAAATTCAGGTTAAAGCTAGGTTTTTATGTTGAAGAATATATTTTTTAGTGTGGATTCATAATTTTGCCTCTTAATTCTCTGTTTTAGTTCTCTTTGTCTTCTTTCAAATGATCTTTTTAAAAAAGTCACTAAACCTTTTCTTTTTTGAAGGGGTTAATCATGAATATTAATTTAATAGAAAATTATGACAATGTTTGTATAGTACTGCTGATACGCCATGTACTAGTCTTTGAGCTTTATATATAATTTGATTATCAAAACAACCTTAGGAGTCGATACTATTTTCTTTATTATTATACTACTACTAATAATATAAATTACAGCTGTATTATAGATGAATAAATAGAAACAAAATAGGCTAAAATAACTTAATTTTATTTTAATTTTTCTTTTGATGAGTTTTCTAATCCTCTCCCCATTGCCCAGCTGCTCAATGTATTTGTATGTGGTGGCATAAATTAGGAAAAAAGTTAGTAGTGCTTATTGCAAACAATTTGGTGGACTTGTTGGATTGTTCCTTTAGTGTTGGTTGTCAGTACTTGTCATTGGATATATGTATAAAAATATCCAATAACAGTAGGATTTTATTGGAGTTCTAAACCTGCTGTAAATCCTTCCATATTAGTAATAGTAGTATGCTGGTAAATATTTTAAAACTGGTTTTCAGAAACAAACAAACAAATAAAAAGCCCTGGCCTGTAATCTTTGCCAGTTTCTGTGGTGCAAATATTCCCACCACAGCCAATTTCAGGCTACCATTGTGGTGTCACTGAATGCAGTGATGTCAGTGATTTGAAAAGAGGTACATAGTTACACAGGAAAATAGTTACATTTACTGGTTTATTATTAAAGGATACCACTCATGACTGGCCAAGTGGAAAAGATGGCATATAGCAAGGTGTAGAGGGAGAAGGTGTTGAGCTTCCATACCTTCTCTGGGCATACCACTCTCACAGCACTTTCATGTGTTCGCTAACTCAGAAACTATTCAGATTTCATGGTTCAAGAGTTTTTGTGACCCAGTCTCAAGCTCCTCTTCCCTTCTCAGTAAGTGAGGGGATGGGGCTGAAGGTATTTACCCTCTAATTACGTGGTATGTTTGGTCTTTTTGGGACCAGCTTTCATTCTGAAGCTATCTAGAGGCCCCGGCTTAAGTCATTTCATTAGTGTAAATTCAGGTGTGGGCAAAAGGGGTTCATTATGAACAACAAAAGACATTTCAGTCACTCAGGAAATTCGAAGAGTTTTAGGAGCTTTGTTCCAGGAATTGGAGAAAGACCAAATACATGTTTTTTATTATAGCACAGTTCTTATGATGCTTTAATATTATGGTAGGCTTTCTTTTGATTGTGGTTTTCATTCTGTAATCTGCTTATTTACCAGGGGAAAATTTAATAAAATAATAGTTATTTCCGCTTTCAGCAAAATTTTAAATGTATTGTTTTTTTTTCTCATAGGTCACTGATGAATTATTGGAAAAAATTGCATCAAGAAGTCAAAATATAATTGAAATCAACATTTCTGATTGTCGCAGTATGTCTGATACTGGCGTATGTGTTCTAGCATTTAAGTGTCCTGGACTTCTTAGATATACAGCCTACAGGTGTAAACAGCTTTCTGACACCTCTATTATTGCGGTTGCCTCTCATTGTCCTTTACTTCAGAAAGTTCATGTAGGCAACCAGGACAAACTTACTGATGAAGGACTCAAACAGGTAAATTTCAGCATTTATAAAATGATTTTACTCATATTAACTCAAAATGTTTTTCTTGCAGCAACAAAAGATTTTTTATGGTAAAAATAATGCTCAGAGACTAAAATAAATTATCTTTCTAATGTACCCATGAATATTCGTTTGGGATAGGGAAATAGAGTGCTGTTGTTACAACTGATAAATTAACTCTGTTGCGTTTTGTAGTGAGTGCCTGAAGAACTGTGGCCAGCTGTTTTATTGATTCATTCTTTTGTTACTTAAATTTTGCTTTAACAACACTATACAGTTTGGGTCATCATGAGATTTTAAAAATTAACTTTGAACTCCCCTTTCAGGTTACTAGATGACATGCTTACATGCTTTAAAATATCTGGTTGAAGGCATAAATGGAAGTCTAAGTTAAAGAGTATAAGATGAAGAAAATGGTGATAATTGGATTAAAAATAGTATCATATATATTTTCTGTTTAATGCACTTTATCTGGAAAGGGTATATAAGGTTTCTTGTCTCAGAATGGATTATTCATTCAATGAATATTGAATGGATTCTATGTGCTAGGCCCTGAATTTGGAGATATTTTGAATATTTATTTAGTTAATGTACCCACTATTTATTGTACTAGGTACTTTCTGTATCTTTACATTTAACCCTTGAAATAATTTTGTGAAATAGTTGATGCTAAACTCTTTTTGCAAAGGAAGGAAATTAACGCTTAGGGAGATTAATGAGCTTGCCTATTGTTTAGCAGATGTTGGAGCTGGGATTCTCCCAAGTTTCTACTGTCTTTTCACTTTTCCATTCTAAGAGACTGTACTCTTCTAAAACTTGAATACAGGAACCTATTCCATGAGGGCAGGGGCCATACACATTTATCACTTTACTCACTGTGCCCTTGGTAAACATTTGTTGACAGAAAGAATTCCTTTCAAAAACTTTGTCAGGATTAATGCTTCAGTTTAGAATTAGGATGTAGTCCTAACACTTCCCAATAAAAGCAGAGTATCAATAAAGTCCTATATTTAAATCTGATCTGAGATGAAGTTAGAAATAAAATGAAGATCCCTAAGTTTAAACACTACAATATGAATTGAACTGAACATTGAAATCAAAGTTCAATCAATATTAGGAGAAATTTGGAAAGATTCTATACTAAACAGTACTGGCTGTGTCAATAAAATTTATATATTAAGAATGCTACAGCTCTGAAGCTATCTAGAGGCCCCAACTTAAGTCATTCCATTAGTGTTAAGTTCAGGTGTGGTCAAAAGGGGTTCAAAATAGAACCCTATTTTATCTACAAAGGCAAATTGTACAGTAACAATCTTAGTTGTTTCAATATTTGTCCGGATCCATTTCTGCTTATTCACTAGCAGAGCATTTTATACATCATAGCCTTATGTATGGTGCAAATTGATATTTTCTAATCTGTACTATTAGTGTTTTTATATTGAAGTATAGTAGACATAGTTTATGATTTGACATTTATATACATTATGAAATGCTCATCATGATGTGTTCTTAATCTCCTACCCCCATTTCAGCTGGCTCTCCCATCTCCACAACCACCAGTTTGTTCTCTGTATTTATGAGTCTTTTGCTGTTTGTTTTGTTCATTTGTTATACCAATATGTTAAATAAATGTTGGCCTTGACCAACTCAGTAATTTAATTTCATGATCCAGTGAGGCTGAATGAGCTCTGCTATGGAGTATATTATAGTTTAGTGAACTAACAACTTAAAAATGTATAATAAAGTTTCAGAAGGCCTAGGACTGAACTATTCATAATTGATAAATTTTACTGGGATTGATTTTTCTTTTTTGTTCCTAAACAAAGCAATTGATTGAAGAGTTGATTCTACAGATCAGGTTACAGGGTTTTGGGTTTTTTTCCTCTTCTGTTAGTAAAGCTGACAAATGTTTTAGAATGGTATACATGTGTTTTATTGATAATGTCTTTAAAATACATTTTCATCATAACTACTATAATTCTAGCAAATACCATATGAGTGTGTTTTTTGAATTCTGTTTGCTATCTATAAAAGCGGTTATATAAAGCATTTTAATTTGGAGTTCTGATGGATCTAAAATTTGATATTTTAAATATTTAATTCTGTTTAATAGTGCTTTTCAAACTTATGGTGAAACACCTAAAAGTCAGACTGTTTTTAGCCAAACACTATGTTCTTTGAGAAATATCACTTGAAATCTTGATATTTTTATTTTTATAAAAATAAGTCCAAATAATTTTACCAGTGAAATGTACTTCTGTTATATACATCTCATAAAACTACAATCATGTATTTGAGGGAAAAAAGAGCTATTTAATTAAGAATAATAGGCTGTTTCAGTTTTTTCTAGTATTTTATTACTGTCCAACAGCAAACAAGTGATAGCAGTAACCAAGATATTCAAAGAAATCTAATAAATTGTATCCATTAAGTTAATATTTATGTGACTGCTGGTAAATACCAGCAGTTTTTAGCAGTTTAACACTTCTGTCCAATTCATGGGTCTCCCTAGAAATTTCTGAAAATGGTAACTATAGGCATCATCTCAGATTAAGATGGTACAAAATTAATAAAGTTGCATTAGTAAATTTCAGTCTTACTATATCATGAGTTTTTAGGTCTTTAAAAATAAGTATTGAGAGTGACATCAACAAAACGGCAGAGTGGGAGTTCCAAAACCCCATTCCTACCCAGAAATATCAAAAAATAAGCAGAAACTGTTAGAACCAATTTTGCCAGAACTCTAGAATACAGTGCTTTATAGCAATCAAGTAATGCTAAACCAAGACAAAGGAAATTAAAATATGGCGCAGGAAAGCTCAGTGGAATTGTTGTCTGTGTTCCATATTCTCCCCAGCTGGGCAACAATCTTGAAGACAGCGGCCTACATTCCCAGTACCAAGGTCCCTGGTTCCAGAGGGAACAGACTGGACTTTATTAACAAATTACTGTGTTTGTATATTCTAACCTGCCTGGGAGTTTCCTGAAGGACTGAGGCAAGGTTCCCATATCTGTTTCATCCAATTCAGAACTCATTCAAGGTGGAAAAGTAGTGGACATTGATTGAAAACATTGTTAAGACAAATGAAAAACCTCCAGATGCCTGGGGCAAAAGATTATGGCTAAGTCATGCAACCGACCACCTAAGGCTTGAAAGAGGAAGCCTGGGAGAGAATATCTTTGGGAAATTAGGGCAGTCAAAAGCACCAGTATGTATAGGGGAATTCAGAAAGCCATGTACATGCTCAGGAAATAATTGAAAAGCCCTTAAACTTTCAGCACTGGCTCTTCTCTGGTCTTAGTGCAGGAAGTGAAGGCCCAGGCAGAGTTGTAAATAGCATGGCTGAGTGTTGAAGAAGTATTTCTGCACAGAACCAGTCTGTAAAGAGTAGGAGAAGTGTTTTTGTTTTATTTAGTTTTGTTTTTAAGCTCTTGGCATTCAAGGAAATATCTGTCAAAACACTGACTGAACACAAGCTAAACCTTCAAAAATTAAAGCAAACCCTGGGAAAGCAGGAGAAGATGATTTCCCAAGTTTTATGTCCAGTTTCCATCCAAAGAAATAGGAGGCATCCAAAGAAATAGGAGAATATGGCCCACTTAAAGGAAAAAAAAATATTGACAGAAATCATTCTTGAGGAAGCTCAGACCCTGGACTTAGTAGACAAATATTTTAAATCAATTACCTTAAATATGCTCAAAGGACTAATGTAAAGTATGAACAAAAAATTAAAAGATCTTAGGAAAATAATGTATGAAAAAAGTGAGAATATCAGTAAAGAGCTAGAAATTATAAAAAGGAACTAAATAGGAATTCTGGAGCTGAAAAGTACAATAACTGACACAAGAAGTTTATTAGAGGGATTCAGTATCAGATGTGAACAGGAAGAAGGAAGAATAAGTGAATCTGAAGACAGGACAAATGAAATTATGTCCGAGAAGCAAAAAAATAGAATGACAAAAAGTGAACTTGAGCCTAAGGGACCTATGGGATACCATCAAGCAAAATTACATTATGGGAATCCCAGAAGGAGAAGGGAGAAAGAGGCAGAAAGAAGAAATAATGGCCTAAACTTACCAAATTTAATGAAAGACATGAATCTGTACATCCAAGAAACTCGAAGAACTCCAAGCAGGATAATTTCAAAGAGATGTACATTGAGACACATGATAGTCTAATTGTCAAAAGCCAAAGACAAAGAGGTGGTCTTGAAAGCAGCAACAGAGAAGTGCCTCATAGCATATAAGGGATCCTCAGTAAGATTAACAGTTATTTCACTAGAAACCTTGGAAGCCAGAAAGCAGTGGGCTGTGACAAAGTGCTGAAAGAAAAAATGTCAACCAATAATTCTATGTCTGGCAGAACTGTCTTTCAAGAATGAAGATGTTAATTAATTAACATATTAAGGTATTCCCAGATAAAAATTGAGGGAATTCATTATTACTAGACCTGCCCTAAAAGAATTGCCAAACAGAATCAGTCCTTCAGCTGAAACAAAAAGATAGTAGACAGTAACTGAAAGCCATGTGAAGAAAAAAAGACCGTGGGTATAAGTATAGGTAACTACATAGGTAAATATGAATAAACACCTAAAAGTCAGACTGTTTTTAGCCAAACACTATGTTCTTTGAGAAATATCACTTGAAATCTTGATATTTTTATTTTTATAAAAATAAGTCCAAATAATTTTACCAGTGAAATGTACTTCTGTTATATACATCTCATAAAACTACAATCATGTATTTGAGGGAAAAAAGAGCTATTTAATTAAGAATAATAGGCTGTTTCAGTTTTTTCTAGTATTTTATTACTGTCCAACAGCAAACAAGTGATAGCAGTAACCAAGATATTCAAAGAAATCTAATAAATTGTATCCATTAAGTTAATATTTATGTGACTGCTGGTAAATACCAGCAGTTTTTAGCAGTTTAACACTTCTGTCCAATTCATGGGTCTCCCTAGAAATTTCTGAAAATGGTAACTATAGGCA